CCTCCCTCTCTTATGTTATGTCTTTTTATTTTTTAATTTATATTTCACATATGAGAGAAAACATGGTATTTGTCTTTCTGAGTCTGGCTTGTTTCACTTCACATCTATCCATTTCCAAGAAGACATAAGTTCTTTCTTCTTTTACAACTGAATAATATTCCACCCTGTACCCATCACTATTTTCTTTATCCATTTAGTGCTTATTGGGCAGCTGGGCTAATTACATAGCTTGGTTATTGTCAATAGTGCTATAATACACATGGCTGTGGAGGTTTCTCCAGTATATGCTGACTTATATTTTGGATATTTGCCCAGGAGTTGAATAGCAGGGTCATATGTAGTCTATTTTTTAGTATCTTGAGGAACTTCAATTCTGATTTCCCTAGTGGCTGCACTAATTTACATTCCCACCAAGGTTTCTTTTATTTTTCTTTTGTCCCTCTAAGTCCTTGTTAGCATTATTATTGGACAAACCAATTTTTGTAACTGGTTATTAGTTCAAACCAAGTGCTGTTAACAAATCCAATGCAATTGCTGGACACGTCTAGAAGTTCTGAAGCATGGATTTTCTCTTTTGCTTGAATGGCCTGGGGTAGACATGAGAGGCTTATGGCTTAGCTCTTTACTTCTGAGTAAAGTTAATCTAGTGAAGATGGCAAAGCTGAGAGAATTGCAGAAAAAATGGAGTTAGAACCTTGACCAGAGTGCACCTGTAGCTCTTACTATTCCAGGACTTTCTACAGTGCTCAGTGAGAGAGTTAATTCATTGTTTACAATTTAAGCTAATTGGGTTTGAGGCTTTTTAATGTACAATTAATTATGTCTAAATGGAGATATGCATAGACCATAATTTGTAGTTTTCAAAGTACTCTCTCAGAGAGTTGAGCCTAACATCAACTCAACAGGGAAGTATGTCATTTTCATTTTATTCACTTACTTTCAGGTCTTCTAACTCTTATTTCAGAGTCATTTTTATAAATGACCATTCAAACTAGTGAATTCCAACTGAGGCAATATTATGTGATAGCAGTTCCTAATTTTCCTAATTTCAATTTTCTTGTTTAATAAAATCTAAATATTATTATTATTCCTTTTTTAGATTCCTTTTCTGCTGAACTACATTTCATGATTCACTTCTAAAGAGTTAGACTGAGATCCCTTAGAGAAATGCCTCAAGCTGAGCCATACCAGTGGTGAAAGTCCTCCTCGTCTCTCTCTCTCTCTCTCTCTCTCTCTCTCTCTCTCCTGTCCTATTTTTGATACTGCTTGTCAAAAATAGTCAAAAGGAATGAAAGATTGGTCCCTAATCTGGGCTCTGGTGGCTCACACTTGTAGCTACTCAGGAGGCTGAGATCTGAGGATCAAGGTTCAAAGCCAGCCTGGGCAGAAAAGTCTGTGAGACTCCTATCTCTAATAAACTTCTTAGAAAAAGCCAGAAGTGGCACTGTGGCTCAAGTGGTAGAGAGCTAGCCTTAAGCACAGATAAGCTCAGGGAAAGAGCTTAGGCCCAGAGTTCAAGCCTCTTGGTCTGTAATAATACCATGAGACAGCTGAATCAATAGCAACAGAATTCTGGTGAGAGAAGTACCCTCCTATTTGTTTAAATCACAACTAGCCAAGTTTTCCAACATTTATAGCTCAAACATTCCTAACTCATACATATTAGTGTCTGGCAAAATGAGCCAATTTTCCTTCAAAGAAGATGGATGCCTTCCAATCAAAATACATGAGAGTATGGGCTTGATGAGATTGTTTAGCCTCTATTAATAGTATTCTTTTTCCATGTGTCTTGTCTTCCTGGGATATCCTGAGCCTATAGCTCTGTGGTCAGCACTGCACCCTGTTCATTTTGGTATAGACAAGTAATTACTGGAGCAATTGCTCAAAATGGACCATCAATGGGACGTTAGCAAAGAGTAATACTTCTCAGACACTCTTCTCTGAGACACATGGATTTATATATGTCCATAATCCTTATAGTGGAGGGTTTACAGTGTTCCTTTTTTTTCTCACCTGCTTCTAAGGAAGGATAGGAGAAATTGAAGACTAGGAAAAGTATATATAGACCGATTGGGATAGGATGCTTGATTCTCTGAGTGACATACTTCTCATAACTGATTGTTGATTAATAAGATTGCTTCAAGTCTTTTCTGATCTTTTATCAAGACAGATCTTTGTTGAAGGAAATGATGGATAGATATTGAGTGTCAATGACTGAAGAAAATTGGTAAGACAAAAAAGAGGCACTCCCAAAGCCAATTCCCCGTGGAGAGACTCCTTCTTCAAGTGTGTGTGTGTATGTGTGCAGCGGACACTGGGGCTTGAACTTGGGGTCTCACACTCTTGCTTGGATATTTTTACTCAAGGCTAGTGCTCTACCACTTGAGTCACACCTCCACTTCTGGCTTTTTTTGTTGACTAATTGGAGTAACAATCTCTCAGACTTTTCTGCCAGATCTGGACTCAAACTGCAATCCTCAGATTTCAGCTTCCTTAAGTAACTAGGATTATAACCATGAGTCACCAGTGCTCAGCTCTTCTTCAAGTCTCAGTTTTGATTTCTTTGACCACGCTCTTGGTTACTGACAGCACCTACAAGAAAAGAGGAGAGTGATGCGTTCTAGGACTAGGGTGGTCCTTCCCTTCTGGAGTAATGGTTAAGATTTGAAAGATGGAAACCACCAGTCGATGAGGAAGACCATGTCCAGGCATGCAGTGGGAAGGGGTAATAAATACTGAAAGAGCAATGAATAGCTCGCAGCAGTGAGAGCAGTGCTGTTTAAAGGATGTCTGTGATGCCCTCTTTCTTCATCATCGAGATGGGAGCCACAGACCATGAAGTACCAGCAAGCATTGGAAATGTGACTAGATGGGAGCCACAAACCATGAAGTACAAGCAAACATTTGAAATGTGACTCATGTTACTGAGGAAATAATTTAAAACATTTTTTGTTTTAATTAATTGATCTTTAAGAGACATTGGTTATCAACTGGTGATAAGAATCCTTGACCATTTTCTTTCCTCTCTCCTCTCCTCCCACTCCTAATTCCCTTTCCTCCCCTCCCCTCTTGTCTCCTCTCCTCTCCATTTTTTATCTTTTTTGGATCTGGTCTGGTTATATGGCCCAGGTAAGACTTGAACACATGATCCTTTTGCCTCTAACTCCAATGTGCTGGGTGTAGAGATATGTTCCATCATTGTCTGACTCTCTTTTTGTTTCTTTCCTTTTTTTTTCCTCTCTACACTGCCTGGAAGTACCTAAAGTTCCTCACTCTTGAACAGAAATAACACATGCTTCAAAGATCTTTTTCATTATTATTGCATAGACAATAATGAATAGTTCATGTCCCCTCTTTAAAATGTCTGCCTGTATCAATGAATGTAGACTCATATGCTATAGACAGGAACTGCCTATATAGTTCATATATTCCAGAGACGATTCGTTGCAGGCATTCATGCATCAATGTTTCTTTAGCACATGTATGTACCAGGTTGTATGTTTGGACTACAGAAAAAGAAGATCAAAGACTTGAAGCATGACTCAGCCTAAGTGGGTGACAGAAAAGTCAAGATAATTACAAGATCCTTCACCATGAGAATTTGTCTAACTGGGAAGAATAAATACATATTCTCCCCTCCTCCTTCAGTCTTTCCTTAACTTTAGATCTAGCTCAATCTGACTAGCTGTTATTCTTCTTTTCATTTTTGTTCTGTATTTATTTCTTTCCTTTGTGTGCCCTTTTTGAGATCATAAGTCTAATTTTAGTTCCCAGCCATTCTTTAATAGGGGTGCTGGCACAGGCAGTCTGTGTTCAAGGTTTTTGCTCTCCCGTGATATGTCACACTTAATTAACTGTCACCTTCACTATTAATATTAACTGAAATATTAATTTGATGAATCTTAATTTCTCTTAATCATAGCATCATTTTGATCCTTCATTGGATCCTTTAGGATGACAGTACAGAGGAGAAATATTAATAGCATATTAAAGTGGTTAAAAAAATTTCTGTAATAATTGCATGTTTTCTCAGTAATAATCTTGCTTTTGAGCAGCTGTAGGCACCCTTATTTCCTTGTTAGCAAACGGATGTTTTGTCTTGATCACCTCCTGACTCTATTTTGCACTTTCAAATGAAAATACTTCCAAATTTAAGAAATGTTTCTCCCCAGAAGAATTCTCCAGGGCCCACAGCATTATCTATGTAGTAAAGGCTCTGTACTATTAATGGAGGCATGCTAAATCTAAATTTGAAGTTTTTATCTGTTCCTTTGGTAGCTCAGTCTATGGAGAAGCAGTCCCTAGGAGAAAGGAGCCTAGAGGGAGGGCAACAGGACCGTCCAGAGAAGTTGGATTGATTTGGAAACCATTTTTCCTATTTTTATTCATTAAAGTATGAAGAGAGGTGTTTTTTTTTGGGGGGGGTGTCCAGTCCTGGGGCCTTAACTCTGGGCCTGGGTGCTGTCCCTCAGCTCTTCAGCTCAAGGCTAGCGCTCTACCACTTGAGCCACAGCGCCACTTCCAGCTTTTTTCTTTTTGCTTATGTGGTGCTGAGGAATCGAACACAGGGCCTCATGCATGCAAGGCAAGCGCTCTACCACTGAGTCACCTTCCCAGCCCCATGGTGTGTTTTTTGTATACATTTTTTTACCCCTCAGCTTCTGCCCTATATCCTTCTGCACATGCTCACCCCCAGATACATTGATTTTGGATGAAAATATGTATTGAGCTGTCCTCCCCACCCCTTGCGTCACAGAGACAGGACTGTCACAGAGAATGTTCCTAGGAAGAGCACCATCACTCCAGTCCCTCAAGTCCATCACTAGACACACAGCTCCCTGGTTCTGATGTGGGCAAATGGTAGCCACCTTCCACAGGGTTAGCTCCCTTACAATTGGAAGAGTGACAGGAGTTCACCTTTCTTCCCCAGTTCCCAAGGAGTATTTGGAGCCCTAAAGATTAGGAGCCCCAGGAACAACCCATTCTTGAATCCCACTCACCTCCAAGTATACCACCCATGGCATCACCAAGGTGGCCACCAGCAAGTCTGCCACAGCCAGGCTCACCACTAGATAGTTGGTCGTTGTCTGCAGGACCCGCTCTCTCAACACAGCCACACACACCAGGCCATTGCCAAAGATGATGGCTAGGATGAGTGCACAGTAGGACAGAGCATAGTAGGCATGTGTGCGGGTTCGGTTGGTACCCGTGGAGTTCTCTGCCCCGCAGGTGGAATTGATGTGGCCGCTTAGTTGGCTCAGAGGTGCCATGGTCCAGAGGGAGGGATGTGGCTCCCAAGAGTTCCTAGGAGGAAACAGAAAATGATGCCACTAAAATGAGACTCCTTAAAACTTGAGAGCTTAGATGCATACTTTAACTGAGCATGTGAACCCGTAAGATCCAGTGTTTCTGTGTACCAGGTACTCTTGTGAGAACTAGTGATACTGAGAAAATCAAGCCGCCTGGACAGATAGCTGTTGAGCGAGTGGTTCAAACATCAGTGTAAGCAGCAGGAAGGGCTAGCATGGGAGTGGGGTGGCGGGAGGGGAAGCCAGCAAGGCTGGAGGCCAAGATGGGCATTGCAGAGCGGAAGGGAGTGAAGTAAGAGGCCATGCGGAGCCACTGAGGAACTTGCCTGGAGACTGTGAGTGCGATGGGAGGCTGCTGCAGGCTGAGGCTCCTAGCTTAGCTATTTCCTAGCTGTGGGACTTGGGCACATTACCCCACCCTTCTATGTGCCAGTTTCCTCCCTAGAAAACTGGGGAATAAGGGCCGCCAGCCACAGGTGGCTGGTGAAAAGGATATGTGTCTGCCTTGTCATGCACCAAATGATTTCTTGGGCCTTAAATGGCCCTCAATACAGACATTCCCCTGAGAATTGAATGATTTATTAGAGATGCATGATTTTGAAAGCTCTGCCTGACACCCAAAACACTACACAAATATTGTATTTGCTTTTTCCACTTTATCAATCTGTTTCTCTTAGATTCCTTCTCAGTTTTTCTTCTTCCTACAGCTATTGTTGCCTTTGCCTTTCCTCTGATTTGCCTTTACCTCTCTAGACTTTCTTTCGTTTTGTTTTGTTTTTCTCTCTCCATCTCCTCCATCCCTCCCTTTCCTCCCCGGACTGGCTTTGCACTGTAATCCTCAGATTTGCTCCTCCTGAGTAGCTAGGATTAAAGGTGTGACCAACCAGAGCCCGGCTTCCCATGTTCACTTATACCTTATATAAATAGGCATGGTGGGTTTGGGAGAACAGCTCTCAAAGTATTGGGTTCTTATACAATAGCTTTTCTATTTAGAGAAGTTCCCTGTGTGGAATTTATTTAAAACTTCCCAATTTTAAAAGATTGGCTACCAATTAAAAATGTTCAAGCCTAATGTGGCCGTCCTCCAAACCTGAATGCCATATTCATGGGCTGGTGAGTCACCAGTTTGCAACTTCTTACACAGGGAAATTAAGACCCAGAGAAATGAGCATCATCTCTTTTTTTTAGAGTTTATTATAATTATCTTTAAATAGTTGTACAAAAGGGTTGCCAATTTACAAGGCAGTCATGAATGCATTGCATCTTGGTCAGTTTCAGCCTTTTCAACATTTTCCTCCCCTGAGCAACATAGTTTTAAAATATATGTATATATATAATATATTTATGTTATCTATCACATGTATTTATATATTATATACGTAATATGTTTGCTAAACATATTATAAATATATTATTGTTAGTATTAAGGTGTTGTACAAAGGGGTTGCCAGTTCATAAGTCAGGTAATGGAATACATTTCTTTTTGGATAATGTCACTTCTTCCTTTGTATTCCCTCCCATTCCTGACCATAAGTTGCATAGTTCATTTTCCATATATAGTGTCTACTAGGTGAGAAATGTATCTTAAGTCTTACAGCTTATTAGTGAGAGAGCTAGCAAACAAATCTAATTCTTTCAATACCCTCCTTTAGTATCCGAAAGCTATAGCAACTGTGGTATTACTTCCCATGAGCCAACTCTGTGGAGGTTTTAGATTTAGAGTGGGAAGGCATTGGAGCCCACCAGCTGCACTTGTGATGTGTATCTGTAGGGTCAGCCCTATAGAAAGAGCTCCAGCCCTCACAGGCAGGTTTGCATGGATTTATGGGGCACCAAAGTTACCACTGCTGAAGAAAAGGCCCATGTGCCAGGGCTATCAGGGTATTAAGAAATATGCTGGGGAAAGACTTGAGTTCCATGGCTGACAGCACAGCTCTGAAACCTAGGCAGAACAACATTTAAGTCTGGCTGGCTCTGTGGTGTAGGGAGCCCAGTTCTGGGACTCTACTGTCCTTGGAATGTTTGGATCCCCTGAACCAGTGTGGTGGTCAGGATTTGCACTCAGTCTTTATGCAGCTTTTCTTGTATCAAGCTATTGGTCTAAGCATGGCTATATATATTTTTTTATTAGTATACATTATTTATAAAGGGAGGGGGCTTCATTGTAAAATTTATTGTGACATTTCCACACATGTATACAGATATATCCTGATCCACCTCACCCTTCTCTCACTCTTCCCTATCCTATGCCCCATTTTTAAGACAATTTCAACAAGTTCCATTTTCATCTATGCAAATAAGCTATGTTGACTGTGTTCACGCTCATTCACCCTTTGTTACAGCTATAATTTTGTACCTCATTGGAAACATTTCAGCCTGGAAACAAGTGTTAAAATGAACCAATGATTGGAAAGGGGTGACCAACTGGGAATGAATTCAGAGAATCGCTTAAAAAATGTTCTTTATCTTGGCACATTGTTTGCAGTCACTATAAATTTTAAAACATAATAATAATTCTTGATAATAATTATAATTTTCTCATTATTTGGAGAAGGGCAGCCGCTACCCTGGAGATAGCATTACTGTTGCCAAGAGCTTTTGGGAAAATACAATGCATTCTGATTGTTCAAGGATATTTCTCCCTTCCAGGCAGGCTCAGGCACAGAGCACCTTTTTTTTCACAGCTGGGCCACCTTGGAAGGAGGTGGGCAGAATAATTCTCTCCTGAAGTCTGCGGATGATTAATGATGTCTTAGCCTCCTCTTACCGATCAAGTGAGAGAGAAAGCATAAGACTCTGGTGTGTTTGCTGCATGTTGCCGGACATTGTATCTGCCAGAAGGTTTGACAGCTACTTAAAAATAGTATAGCTTAGTGTCAATGGCTAATTCTAAGAAGGGAAATCCTCAACTCTGAAAACCAAGTCTGAGCTTGATGTTAGAATCACAGCTACATGGATTGCAAATTCCTTTTTTTTTTTAATATCATACTGTCTTAAGTCTTAGATTCTTTATAGCAGCAGGTGGGTAAATTGTGGTTGTCCAGGAAGTTCTTGATGAGTTGTGGGCGTGGGAGATGAAAGTAGAGATTAGTGAGATGCTACAATGCTCCCTGCCTCTCAGCTAATTATTTCAACTTTTTTTTCCCCTGCATAGATTCTTTTCAAATCAGACTTGCTTATATAACACAGAGCTAGGCTGCTATTTCTTTTCTTCCTTTTTCCTTCTGATGGAGGTGCGAACAGATAGCAAGCTGGTCTCAGTAGCTCTTGAAGCCAAAAGCTTGAAGAATTTATTAACTCAATAATCATTCTCTAAGTAATTCACAATGATAGACTTCATCAGAAAAACGAGGATAAGTTACTGACACTTTGTAGGGTTAATGTGAAGATTAAATGCAATTACATATGTTAAGCTCTGGTATTACTGACACATTGGGCTGGATATTTTTGGGGGGGATTCTTTCCTGTGCATTGTAGGATGTTTATAGCAGTGTCTTTGACACCTACCCACTAGGTGCCGTAGCATACCTGTTTCCTCCAAGCTGAAACAACTAAAATGGCTCTAGACATTTCCAAAGTTCTACTGGGGACTTGGGGGGGGGGGAAACAACATTTTTTGCCTATTAAAAATCATGTTAGATTTCATATTTTACACAATGGAATATGGTAGCTTTTAGTGGGGAAGTATGAGTGGAAAGGACTAGCAAAATTTCAGACTGTCTAGTAGACTTGGCAATTAGGAGCAAAGAGCATTGGGAATTATGAAGGTGGTAAGAGGTGGGGAAGATAAGGACTTGAGGATTGTGGCTGCTTTTGCTCTCTTCAGATGCATTGCATATAACATTATTTACAAAATCAAAGGTGCTTTAAAATATTTTTAAACACAGTATTGGCTTATCTTTCCCTTTACAGCATGCCTTAGCATCCTTCAAGGCAGTAGGTTGCCTCTAGTGCTTTCCTTTTTGGCAGTATTGGGAATTGAACTTCGAGCCTCATGTTTATAAAGCAAGCCACAGTTCTACCATTGGAACTGTGCTTTCAGCTCTATGATTCCATTTAAAAGGCAGTGAGCCAGAGTGATGAAGCTACCACACACTATAACATACGCTCTGTTTTACTGATGTTCAGTTTCTCATGGCTGGGTGAATGTCTGCCTGAGACATCTGTGGGCAACCTGTGTCCTGGATAGACAGTCATTAAGATCTGTAAAGTTTTCCCTTGGGCATGGTGGTACACATCTATCATCCCAGCTACTTGGGGGGTGGGGACAGGAGCATTATAAGCAAAGTTAGCAAGAGCAATTAAAAAACAGTTAAAACAAAAAGAAGACACAAGCAAAATGGCTAGGGGGCATGTCTCCAGTGGTAGAACTCTTGTATTGAGGCCCTAGTTTCAATCCTGTGTGTGTGTGTGTGTGTGTGTGTGTGTGTTGTACTAGAATTTGAACTTTGTGTGTGTGTGTGTGTGTGTGTGTTGTACTAGAATTTGAACCTAGGGGCTAGACACTGTTTCTTAGCAATTTTTGTTAAAAAGTAGTGCTCTACCACTTGAGCCATAGCTTTACTATGGTTTTTTTGGGTAGCTAATTGGAAATAAGAATGTCATAGCCTTTCCTGCCTAGGCTGGCTTTGAATTTCAATCCTTAGATCTCAGCCTTAGATATCAGCTGAGCCACTGGTACTTGGCTGATATAACTTTAAAAATGGATTAAATAATAGATCTGAAAAAATTATGTTAAGTGAAGTTAGTCAGGCCCAGCAAGACAAAAGATGCATGTTTTCTCTTATATATGGAAGCCAGATAAACTTGTAAACTTATAAGAATGTTGGATGGCATGCAAGTTATACAAATGTACTAAGTCAAATACAGTAGATTCAAGGGATAACTGAAGTAGTGTAATTCTTTTGAAAGGCAAATCAAAGCTCAGGAAAATAAAGTACCAGGAAGTGAATACTCAAAAAGGGTGGAGTGAAGTCAAGGGTAAAGGAGTAGAAGAATGAAGAGGAGAAAAAGGGGGAAATGCAGTCAAGAATCCAATGTCTAACCTGCAAAATTAAGAAGAGTGAGGGAAGGGGTGAGTACAGGAAGGGTAGGTGAGAATGTTGAAAGGGGTGACGTTGATCAAGATAAATAATTCATAAGCTGCTTTGTTAAATGGCAACTCCTTTGTACAACTACTTAAAAGGCACCCCCCTCCACAGGAAAAACGAAACACAGAGAGATCTTCTACTGAAGACCATGAATGTCATAGAGGCTGATTGGAGCCAACTTTGGTCTCAAGTCTTCCTAAACCCCAAACTCATAGTTTATTTGATGTGTCCATATTGGTGGAAGTTGATGCTAAGATGGGTTTTCCTCAACTCAGCATAATGCACCAAGGTAGCAGTTTTCATGACACAACTCTCATGTACCAGACCCTGACTGTTACCTTCTCTGTCTTTTCCTTAGTCAGTTCCTGAACACGACTCTCCAGAGCTTTTTTGGTCTGCGCTTGAATTCAGACTTGCTAAATTGCCTAATAAAATCTAATTATAATAGCTAACATTTATAAGCATATTTAAATCTCACAACTACCTGATGGAGAAGCTAGGTGTTATTTTTAATCCTCATTTTTGCACATGAAGAAAATGAATCATAGAGAAATTGTCTTGCTGCGGTCATAAACCAGTAAATGATGGAGTTGATTCAACCCAAGATTTGCTTGAGACTAGAGCTCATGTTCTGAGTTTCCATGCTACTGGGATATGACACACAAATCTGAGATGGGAACAAATTGTTGAGATCTTGCCTCATCAGAATATCACCTTACCAAGTGTGTTGAAGTCTATGCAGGTGTGTGCTGCTCAATACAACCAGTGGGAGTTATATTATCATTAATTTTAGAGGAAGTCTTTAGCATTTCTATGGCACTATATTCTAACAAATTATTGTCTAGTTTATTTTTCTAAAATGATTCATAGGTGCATTGAACTACATAGAATATTTATATATTGGGGTACATTGATGTTGTTGGTAAATGTGCAAAAAAATAAAAAGCTGTAGCTGGTTACTGAAATCCAGCAACTAAGATAATACAGGTTTTTCTTCATTAAACCTGACCAGGAAAGCAGAATCCCCTTATTATGCATGCTAATCTTTAAAGGTTGAGCCCACTTGTCATTCTCATCAAAGATAAAATGGGGTGAACGTGATCAACCAAATCTAATATTAGCTAGAATCTATTTGTTATTTGCTTTAATGCATATTCCATCATAGAAGCTTTCTCTTTGGATACTATCAATGTTTTCCTTGATTGACATCCTTTCCTACTGCAGTCCCTTGGAAATATTCTTTTTTATCCCACCTCTCCAGCCCCCAGAAATATTCATTTCTAAATAAAAACAAGTGCCCAAGGAAGACTGTCACATTGTCTCCCCCCCTCCTTTTTTTTTTTTTTTTGGCTGCAAGAGATCCGAAGGGCAGATCCTTAAGTCTTATCCAAGGACAGACATCTTACTGATCTTTCAGCACTTAGGAAGCAAGTCATTTCAAGAGCAAATAGGCATGTAGACTAAGTTTAGAATCCAAGTTACAACTTTGCTGTGGCTGCATTATTATTTGTGCATGCATTTTGATGGTATTTGATTATAGTAAATGAATGAGCTGGAACAAATGCCTAATTGCAATAACTTCTGTTGACCCAATAAGCTACAGTAAGTAATAGAAGTCCCACAATTGAGCTACAACAATGCCCTCAGAATCATATATCATCATTGAAGAAAACATACACAATCATCATCTCAAGTACTGCATATCTCTGCTGGGAATAATTGGATTCTGACTTGGAAATAGCCTGACTTTAAATAGACCATTGAAAGCAGTGCCTCTCCAAACCCTCAGCCCTGGATTACCAGGGTGTTGAACTGGGGAGTTTGAAGTAATAGATCCTTACAATTAAGAAAAACCCTTAAGATGAATACAATCAATTTCCATACAAATCCCAGGAATAATTATAGCTTTTTATTTTCTATCTTTTATTTCTGTCTTGATATTGCTTCTAGAGCCCACAAGGACATGTCTTGAGGATGGGGAGGAAAAAAAGAGAACACATTTCTACTATCCAATCATTTAAGAAAATAAAAACCAAACTATTTCCTCAGGGTTTCAGGTTTTCAAATACAAATGACATGGAGTTTTAATACATATTCTTAGAGTACTAAAGAATTCCAAGCTAGCCAAATCACGTGCCAGGAAAATAATATATACTACATTAGAGATGAAAAGGCAAATTACTTACCCTGAAAACTTCTTGTGATTTCTGGAGATTGTACAGTTTAGCACATCAGCTTCTGCAGCCATATCCAGCAGATAGACCCAAGCAAAGCAAACTTAGTCTTTTCCTGGACTAAGACTATGGAAATGAATAGAATGAAAATCATCTATTTTTGCCTCTGAGGTAGAATTACTTGTGAGCTACTCTTCCAGCTTCCCTATGAGACCTCGCTGCGTGTTTCATAGCTGCTTTTCAATGCATCCGTTTTCCCTAGAGGATTTGGGAGGGACCCTACTAATACTGTTTGGGTCAGCTGTTCAGCGTCTCTGTCCTTGGTCCTGAAAGAGAGATAAGGTAGGCAGGCACAAACAGGACCGGTTTTCTATTTCATTCTCCTTCTTTCCCTCTGTGTCTCTATTTGCTTCAGCACTGTGCTCTTTAGTACATGTGTATTTTTCCATCAGTTCTCTTTTTAATCTCAGTATTTCTACTCCCTTTACCTCTGTGCTTTGATATCTCTTGAATAACTCTCACCATCCTCAGTTTAATTGCCTTTTCAGCTGTTGGTGGGTGTAAAGATGATTGGTTCAGAAGAAGGAAGAGATCAACAAATGGATACCACAGTTAATGGAAATCAGTACAATTAAAAACACAATTGACAGAATAATTGAACTTGGAGGTGTATGCCTGTCTGGAAAAAAAAAGAAAGCTAAAGGTAATATATTATAATGGAAGCAAAACTGAGGCATGGAGTGTAAGTAGGGCTAAAGATGAAGTAAAACCATTGTTTATTCAGCATTATCTCTTGATTTCAATAAACTTTATACCTTTCCAGTTCATTTTACTCCTCATCTGTTATCTCTCTCTCTCTCTCTGTCTCTTTCCCTCCCTCTCTCTCTTTCATTCTTTTTCTCTAACCTTGCTTTAAAACAGGCTAAAATGAGATATAGCCAAGGGCAATCTCAATGAAAGCCAGCACCTACACAACCTTAATTCATGTTCACATGTTCATAGAACATGTTCCCCTTCTATCCTAACTACTCTTTGTTCTTTTGTTTTTAGTTTCTTCTCTATTCTCAGACAGGGCAGTAAGTCTTCCCTAGAGTAGCTTCCATTTGTGGATGAGCTTGACAGCTCCAGTGCTGACTGCCAAGCAGAAGCCCGTCCTCATTTGATTAAGATAGAGACCTCTGCTGGCAGAGAAAAAGGCAGAAGTAGCAGCCACAAGGTCTGAATGCTGTTAGTCAAAACAACCATCATTTATTAAGCATGTACTATTAACCAGTCATTTTCATGTACTGCCTCTTCTAACTCTTTTGTCAGTCCTGCAAGGTAGGTACTTTTTTTTTCTTAAAAAAAAAACAAAACCTTCCTTGATTTGTAGATGGGAAAATTAAGGCTTACAGAAGTTAACAATTTTTCAAAGGTCACACAGCTAACAACTAGATCTAGAATTTGGGTTTGGACAACTTTATTCTCTTAAGCACTATGGTATAATTTTTCCAAATGTAGAAAATTTAGTTTTCTCAAGTGATGAATCATTTTTCAGAGAGAATAATTGTTAATGCTATTAATAAAGATATTGACAATATATTATTTGTATGATGACTGTTTTGGGAAGCATTTTCTAGATCATGTTCTTGCCTGCATCTTACATCAGTCCACATAATGTTTCTTCTTTAAAGACTTTTTTTATTGATTTATATATTAGAAGGTTTACAGTAATATAAATCAGGTAATCAGTACATTTCTTTTTGAACAGTGTCATTTTTCCCCTTGTTTTCTCCCAGTTTTTCCCCTCCTTCCCCCTCCCCCACAAATTGTATAGCTCATTTTCAACATAGTGTCTAGGGAGTATCACTGCTGAATTAGTTCACCCTTTTTCCCACCATTTCTGTGTTTCCCCATATCCTCCCCAAATCAGATAAACTTACACACAAGACAAAAGGCACAGAAATCAAAAACTGCAACAAAAGGGGAAAAATAGAAAAAAACAACAACACAGAACATATAAAACCTCTTGTTATCTGTGTACCCCTGGCTCATGCCTGTAATTCTAGCTACTCAGGAGGATAAGATCTGAGGATCATGTTTCAAAGCCAGCCCAGCCAGGAAAAGTGTGAAACTCTTATCTCCAATTAACCACCAGAAAACTGGAAGTGGCACCATGGCTCAAATGGTAGAGAACTAGCCTTGAGCTGAAGAGCTGAGGGACAGCTATCAGGCCCAGAGTTCAAGCCCCATGGTCAAACCCCCCCCCTCCCCCAAAAAACACCAAAACCAACCCTCTTGTTTTCATTTCTTAGAGTTCATTTTGATAAGCATCATTTTATATGATTATATGTACATAGCTATTGAGCCCATGTGATCTTTGCTTAAGAATATTCTTCTTTGGTCTCATTGTGTGAATGTTTAGAGTCTTGTTTAATTCTCATGTCCAAGAGATATCTATTTTTTTAAAATAGAAGCTGTATGGACTGAATTGTGTCCTCTCCTCTCCCTCAATTTATCTGTTGAAGCCCTAACCTTAAAATGTGACTGGATCTGAAAATTTGATCTTTAAAGTCCTAGCTAAGTTAAATTGAAGGCTTTATGTATGTTCAATTCCAGTAGATCTGATGTCCTCATAAGAGAGTAAGAGGCACTAGAAATATACTAGAAAGGCTACAAGAATTGAGAAAGGTGGTGGTTTCTGGAAGCCAGGGAAAAGTGCCTCTGGAGGAGTCAAACCTGCTTACAAGTTGATCCTTGACTTTAAACCTTCAGAACTATGAAGAGACTTTTCTGATTTGAGCCTTCTAGTCTTTGGTATTTTGTTATGGTAGCCCTAAAAAACTAGTACAGATTCTTTTTCTTTTTAATTTTATTTGTGAACATATAGTACAGATTCTTAGACATAGGTAATCCAAGGTTGAATACAATTGGTTAGGGATGCACTAAAGCTACTAGCACAACCATGTTCACTACAGCATTGTTTACCATAGCCAAAATATGGAACCCACACAGATGCTCCTCAGTGGACAAATGGACCAAGAGAATTTTCTACTCATCCGTCAGAACGATGTTGTACCATTCATAAGGAAATGGAAAGACTTGGAAAAATTATATCAAGCAAAGTAAGCCAGATTCAAAGAAAAAAGGGTATATGGTTTCCCTCATTTGTGATAACTAGAATGTGCCTATAAATCTACAAGCGAATATACTGGATATATATATATATATATATATTCAGACAGGATAAATTATATAGATCTCTAGACATTCATCTAGTGAGACCAAAGGAGTGGATCTTAGGAGTGGATCACAAAGGCTCAATAGCTATATGCATATGATCATAAAAAATGGAAACAAGAGGTTTTTGTACTTGTTGCTGTTTTTGTTGTCTTTTCCTTTACTTTTGTTCATTATTTTATTTGCCTTTGAGATGGAAAGGGGTGGAGCTCACTATGTTGGAAATGAACTGTACAACTTGTAAGTGGGGAAGGTTGGGAAAAACTAGGAGAGAGTGATGGAAAGGTTACATCGTTCAAAAAATAATGTGCTCATTACCTGGCTTATGTAACTATAACCCCTTTGTACATCACCTTTACTATAACAATAAATATATTTTTTTTGAAAAAAACATTTGGTTAGGCATAAATATATTAGTAATGTAGCATGCTCATATTGAAAATACTCTGAGACTAGAATGACAACCTTGAATGTGAACCTCCAGGTTCTTCATCTCTTAAATGAGGGGACCAAGAGACCATGCACTGTTAAAGCCTAGTTTGGTCTGATATATAAAATCAGAAAGTAACTGCAGGGCAGTATGCAAGCAGAATGAAATAGAGGCATGCTAAGGAGCATAGAACTTTATTCAACATCATAGTTTCCTGTTTGTTTTTTTAAACATTGGAATATATTGTACTTAATGATACAGCTGTTCTGCTATGTATGAATGTGGCAAGAAGGTCTTATTTCTCTGCTTTCTGTGTTGAGAACCCACAGCATATCCTGACAGAGTAGTTACAAATGGGGGAAAATCCACAAATGAGAAAAATCCTTTTTCTTCAACATTTTTTGTAGTGCCTTTGTTTGGCAAAGTGCAAAGGAAGATAGAGAAATAAAAATTCTTATTCTAATGTCATGTAGAAGTTCCACACAGAGATATTAACTGACATACCCAAAGCTATCTAGGCAGTTCATTTTCTTAGCTCAGCAGTCTCTCTGGTGGATTCCTGACTTCTTGGGGAAATGGAAGGAATGGGTACAGGAAAGGGGAGGATAGTTTTCTTAAGAGAACCAGTGTAAGCGAAGTGTAAGTGAAAATCAGCAATTGCTTCTTTCAACTTGATATTTTCCATTCACATTGCTCCAAGCAGTTTTCATTCTTTTTTAAAAAAGGGAAGCCTTATTTATGATTGACAATGAGGATTCTGAGATTAGTCTTTTGGGGAGCACTCTAGAGCATGCTCCAAGGTTTTGTCTGGAACTAAGTTGGTTACAGAGTTTGTAGTGGAAACATTCTCTTCTGGCTTTGAAATGCTGGTTCAGGGTAACAACACAAGAAACATTGCTTTAATCACCAACCATTGAGGATAAGGTGACTTTCTCATACCACTTTAAACCTCCACAGCATTCACAGGAAGATCACATTCTCTAGGAGAGCACAGTGATGTGGGCTGGGCCAGGCAAGGAAACAGTGTCACTGCATACAGAGTTCTGTATGCAAAAGGGACACTGTGTTTCCATGGCTCATTATAACAGGCATTTCTCACTGTGAACAAGAAGACCTCTTTATCATGGTGATCTTAAATTGCAGGGATGGTAATCTGGTTTGATAAACAACCTTTAAATGTTTTTCACTGAAATCATCTCAACTTTTAAGAAGGCAAATAAAAGTTGTCGAAAGCAGTTATTGAAGCAAGTGATGTGGTTACACCTCCTCAATTCCAATCTTCTGTTCTCCAATGTGGTCCTGTGGTAGATGAGAACTATACGTAAGAAAGCCTGATGTTAAATGTTTAAATGTGTTTATTTGGGTATAATACAGTTCTGGAAAGAAAAAAAATTAGC